TAAATAAATTTTACCTTAAATTCAACAAGATCTGATTCTAAAAAATATTCTCTTCAGCTAAATAAATACATCTTATTTTAACGATAATAAATATCAACTAATGCATGATCATATCATTTTGCTACACTTTCTTCAATTGATATTTTATGATATTTTATGATAATTTCTTTAACAACAAAAAGAAAAACCTTCATCATATTGTGAAATTTATCAGCTGTAAAGTGTTTGATATTTCCAAGACCTTTATTAAACACTTTAAGTCCAGAAAATCTTGAAATTTTTGCTAACTGCTTGTTAAGTTCATCAATTCCTATTTTTTCACAAGTATTATTTAATAAGCCTAGGTCTAAGTAATGCATCTTATCTAAAATTGTAGCCAGACAAATATTTAATTGGCTAATATTTATTAAATAAGTATAGTATTATACATATATGTTATAAAATTTAAAGTTACATTAAAAAATATATATACTTACAGATATTTTCAGAATATGTTTTCCATATTGTATATAGAATGCTGTTTTGTAAGACCTTGATTTATAATAATTTTCATTTGTTCGGGGTTCTTGAAATAATTTGGTTATCGTTTAACTTAATATCATTCATTCTGTTAACTGATACTATACATCTGTAACATGGATATTTACAATTGACAGAATTATATGTTAATGTTAACAATGAATATTCTGGAATGTCACCTAAAAAGACTGAAACAAATAGGTAATATCATATATCTCCATTATTTGTCTGAAGATCAAACCTATTGTCTTTATAATCAAGTATTAGTTTTAAAATTATATTTCAAAAATGTTGGTATGCAAACCGTTTTGCAAATAAAAAATTGCTAGAACTTTTTTGTGTAACTGTTTTTGGTTTTATGATAGGAAAATAAGCAAGAAGAGCTTTAGCGTCAGGTTTATTCCTCCTCCAACTAGGAATATATCTAATGTCAGATAAACAGGATGTTCATTCATTTTTTCAAGCTAATCACATATTGTTGCATTGAAATACAGTATTATTGATAGAACCTTTGCTTGGCTGGAAATTGTTTTTAGTACTTTTTCCCACCATTCTCTATTAAACTGTTCATTATATATTTGTTGTTCATCATGGTACAACGGTGTAAATTCGAAAACACAATAATCAAGTATGTCCTTATTAGTTAATAATTCCTTAATATAGTCAAAGATTGGATGGTAATTTAAATAGTATATTTCTTCATCATATTCTATTATTGATACTTTCTTAAAAGAAATGTATGGAACCATAATTTTATCTAAAAGTTGTTTTTCTTGTTGAATTGAAGTAGGCAAGATTGTATCATCATGTAATACTTTGTTTAAAAAACACAGTATGTTATCGCCACAAGTATCAGACAAATTCTATTTAATAATTAATTTTATAAATTCACCAAATTCTTCACTCAGAAAATTTGATATATTCTCAGTATTTATCAATCTAATATCAAGTAATTTGAAAACTAACGAAGGTTCAACCTCAAACAATTGGCATTCCACAATAGTTATCTAAGTATAATTATAGATTGTATTACATCTCTTAAAATATATTAATACGTATTACAACATATTATATATATATACACATACATTATATATTTACAAATTAGAGTTGTTGGCAAAACTTTAAGTTACAGTAAAATTAGTGAAAATTTATTAAATACTATAAAACAAATAAATCTAAACTGAAGCTATCTCTTAATCTGTAGAGTTTGTGTAATAATTTTAGCTTAAAAATAGCATAAATTTAGTTATGATTTATTTTTTTTAAAATTTAAAATATTTAAATAAAATTTCA